GAAGGATTACGATTGTGAGATCCTGTACCACCCGGGCAAGGCTAATGTGGTAGCCGACGCATTGAGCCGTAGGGCGGATAGCGTCCCGATCCGAGACATTTGTATGAGATTGACGGTTTTGACCCCGATCCTGGATATTATTCGAGGGGCTCAGATGGAGGCTGCGAAGCCGGAACACCAGAAGAAAGAACGGGTTGTAGGTCAGGTATCAGGATTTGTTACGGATGGTCGAGGGCTTATGACTTTTCAGGGACGGATTTGGGTGCCGTTTGTGGGCGGTGCGCGCACTATTTTGATGGAGGAAGCACATCGATCAAAATTCTCGATTCATCCTGGTGCTACGAAAATGTATTTGGATCTCAAGAAGGAGTACTGGTGGCCATGTATGAAAAGGGATGTCGCTTGGTTCGTCGAGAGGTGCTTGACTTGTCGGCAGGTCAAGGCCGAGCACCAGCGACCGCACGGTAAGCTGCAACCGCTAGAGATTCCCGAATGGAAGTGGGAACAAATCTCTATGGATTTCATCACCAAGTTACCGCGAACGGCGAGAGGAGTCGATGCGATTTGGGTGATCGTGGATCGACTGACAAAGAGCGCTCATTTTCTAGCCATTAGCGAGAGCTCTTCTGCGGAGAAGTTGGCCGAGTTATATGTGAGGGAAGTAGTATCTCGGCACGGGGTGCCGATCTCGATTATCTCGGACCGCGACGTGCGTTTCACTTCCAGGTTCTGGAAGAAATTCCATGAGGAGTTGGGTACTAGATTACATTTCAGTACGGCATATCATCCTCAGACTGACGGTCAGAGTGAGCGGACAATTCAAACACTCGAGGACATGCTTCGGGCATGTGTGTTGGACTTCGGAGGGAGCTGGGACACCTATCTACCTTTAGCAGAGTTCTCGTATAACAACAGCCATCATTCGAGCATTGGTATGCCGCCCTTTGAGCTGTTGTATGGGCGGAGGTGTCGCACCCCCATCTGTTGGGGTGAGGTGGGACAGCAGGTTATGGGTAGCACGGAGATCGTGCTTCGGACGACCGAGCAAATTCAGATGGTCAGGCAAAGGTTGTTGCGCTCAGAGCCGACAGAAGAGTTATGCAGACAGGCGACGGTCCGAGCTTGAGTTCCAAGTTGGTGATCTCGTACTCCTGAAGGTCTCTCCTTGGAAAGGAGTGATTCGGTTCAGGAAGAGGGGCAAGTTGGGACCCCGATATATTGGTCCTTTCCGTGTGATCGCAAGGGTGGGCCGGGTGGCCTACCGTTTAGACTTGCCATCAGAGTTGGGACAGATTCACGATACTTTCCATGTGTCGCAACTGAGGAAATGTATAGCCGATGAATCGGCGGTGGTTCCGTTAGGGGATATTCAGGTGGATGCAAGCCTGAATTATGCTGAAAGACCTGTAGCCATCAGAGATCGAAAGATCAAGGTTTTGAGAAACAAGGAGGTACCCCTGGTATTGGTTCAGTGGCAGCATCGGAAGGGATCAGAGATGACCTGGGAGCCGGAACGTGAGATGCAGGAGCAGCATCCGGAGCTATTTGCCTAGCGGGACTTCGAGGACGAAGTCTTATCCTAGTGGGGGAGAATTGTAACAGCCCGGATCCCCAGGTATCTTCATTTCATATATTTTTGACATTATGTGAGGGGACTCGGCGAGTTGGAGGTCGAACTCGCCGAGTCGGGTCGCGGTTTTGGGCGGGGGTTCGCGTCCGGACTCGGCGAGTCCAAGGGATGGACTCGGCGAGTCCGTGCTGTTTAATGAAACCCTAATTTCCCGGACCAAAGCCCTATTTAAAGGACCTTATGGCCCTCATATGCGGCCACCTTGAACCCTAAGAGCCCCCATACGTCTGTGAGCCCTTGTGAGAGTGTTTGGAGGCTTTTTGTTCATTATTTTGTGGGATATTGCAAGGAAAGGAGGGAGAGGATCAAGCTTGAAGTGTTGGGGAGCTTGGATCTGTTGCTACTTCACCAAGGGAGTCTTCTTGAGGTAATTTTCAGAGCCAAACTTCGTGTTTTGTGTTGATGTGCCAAATCTAGGGTTTCTTCTTGCATTTCTTGGCTTGAATTAGAAGTATGAGAGGTCCCATGGAGATATGGAACCTAGATCTGGACTTTAGCAGGTCCAGGAGACCCCTTATGACAAGCTTTATGTCCATTCTTTTGAGTTAGAAGCTAAACTTGCCATATTAGAGGTTGTTTCTTCAAAATAAGCCTTGTATGCATTGCATGGCAACCAAGACTGAGACTTTACGTGACAAATAAGCTTGGGAAGGCCAGATCTATGCATGTATGGAACGGATCTGACCGCAAAAGCCAGTTTTAGCTGGTGCATGGCATGGACTCGCCGAGTCTGAAGAACAGACTCGACGAGTCGCTTGAAGATTGTCCTTGAGACCATCCTGTGTGTAGTCCGGACCGAGTTGAGGGCGACTCAGTGAGTCGCAGAGAGTTGGAAAGGTTTTGAACAGGTGGACCGAGTCAGGTTGGGACTCGCCGAGTTGACCTTCGACTCGGCGAGTTGAGTCGCGGTGGCCCTGTGATTCAGGCCCAGGGGGAACTCGTCGAGTCGGGGGAGTACTCGACGAGTCAAAAGGGGAAAACCTTGATAGTTGAATAAAATGCGTAGACTCGCCGAGTCACTAGTGTGCACTCACCGAGTCCGGTCCAAATTGATTAAAGACGATTGACCAAGTCAACCTGTGTTGACTTGATAAGGATGGCCCACCTTTGTGGTACAAGTAATAATTATAGATTTATAATATCATAGGAGGATTGCAGCTCGAGGGTTCGAGCTCGAGTGATTTCAGGATTCACGATTAGCGACTTAGCGAGGCATACGAGGTGAGTCTTCTCACTATACTGCACCCGGAAGGGTTTTGACTGTGTGACCGGAAGGTCGAATATGATATGAGATATATGCCTTATGTGTGTTAAGTTATTTGTTACATGTGCCATGTATGATATGTTTGATTTGGGCCGGAAGGCAACATGATATGGGCCGGAAGGCGTGGTCATATGGACTGTAAGGTTGACGTGGGTAGGACCGGAAGGTCTACCCAGTCGGGACGGAAGTCCCCTGAGACACAAGGACCGGAAGGTCAAGGCCTGGAAAGGCGTATGTGCGTATGTTGTATTTTGGGGAACTCACTAAGCTTTATGCTTACAGTTGTTGTATTATGTGTTTCAGGTACTAGTGAGGACCGTGGGAAGGCGCCAGCGTGACCGTACACACACTCGGGGAAACTATTTTGTTATCTTTTGTTATGTAATCGGTTGTGACTACATTGTTACTTTGGAATCTAAACTTATTACTCATGTTTTGATGGTTGTAAAAATGAAAATTTTTTGTTGGAATTTTATGACGTTACACTATTGGTTTTGAAGATTTTTGTTTGTTTTGTACAACAACATATATGTTTTTTTTAGTAATCTAGGTTCGCAATTTGGTTTCTTTTGATTATGAACTTACATTGTTTCCCTTATTTAAACATAGATGTTAGAGGATCAAAAACACAATGAACCGATTATTGGTGATGGGAAATTGATTTTGGTATCATTTGATTTTGTTGATTATGATTTCTATTGGGTCTGCCTTCTAGATGGGGGTGGGCAGGTAATGTAACAGTGGATGACGGTAGTGGTGATGTTGATAGTGGTGGGTTTATAAATTTTTGGTTTTTGTAATTTAATGTGATGTAAGTGGGGCCCACAAGATAATATCAATACTAACAAAAATTAATTGAAATATATAATGAAGGGTAAAATAGTCATTTGAGTAAATTTTGTAAAGTAACGGATGTTAATTTTAGAGTAAATTACACGAATGGTCCCTATGGTTTGGGATAATTTGCACGTTTGGTCCCTAACTTATTTTTTTAACTCGGAAGGTCCCTACTTTGTGTTTTTGTTACACGCTTGGTCCTTAGTGTTTGTTTTTGTTACGCACTTAGTCCCTATCTTACCTAAAAATAATATTATTTAAACAGAGAAAAATGGTGGGGTTGGTAAGGTAAGATGAGAGGGGCAAGGTTGGGGTGTATTTATTTAAATAAATTAAAAGATCAAAGGAAAAATGGTATTTTTAAGTAAGACAGGGACCAAGCGCGTAATAAAAGCAAACATTAGGTACCTTCCAAGTTAAAAAAAATAAGTTAGGGACCAAACGTGCAAATTACTCTAAACCATAGGGACCATTCGTGTAATTTACTCTTAATTTTAGGGACTAAATCCACAACTCAAACACCAAATAATGACCCTTTTTGCTAGGAAACTATTTTTTGGATCTTATCCAAAGAAATCGGCAAACCACAGGGATCATTTTTGCAATTTTGTCTTTTAACAATAATAGAAATGTACCTTATATTTTCTTTTTTACTCGTGGAAGTAACGTACTAGAATTCCACGACCCCTATGAGCAATGTACTTTATATGTTACATATTTGTTGTTTTTTATATAAGATATAAGTGAGTTGGTATTACGGATAAAGAACTATATGTGTGTTATCATGTGCAAATGAAATGTAAATACCTATTATTACAAGTTGCATATTGCTATTACCAACAGAAAATATATAAATACATTCATTAGTATAGAAATCAAAGGAAATTGCTATTCTGGTAGAAATAAAATGCTTTGCCTACATTGGTGAAACAAGTATAATCCATTGCTAGTCAACAATTTGTCTTAGTTATTTATTTTATTTTATTTTTTAAACAAATGAACAACAAAATATAAAGTAAATTCAGACTTAATAGCTTGAATGGTTGAGACCTTTTTAAAAGAGGGGATAAATGAATTATATAACTACGAATTACCAAGCAATTCCCTATATTAATTAAGGCTTTAACATAATTTTCTGGAAAAAAATTATTTTTTTCAGCAATCATAATGTGAATTGTGAAATGTAAATTAGTTACCCACAGAGAGTCCACCTATATTGATATTAAAATTCCATTTTTGCAGCTACTGAATTCAAACTCTTAAGTGTACGTCAGTTATTTGTAATATACATACTTGAATAAAAGAGAAATGCCAAAATAGTGCACCGTGTCATTCTTTTTGGGTACTCATACAACCAAAACATTTATTAAAAATATAGATATGAATGAAATAACAAAAGAACAACTATACACTCACACAAAAAGGCACCTATTATGAAGGTGACATCCACTCAATCTCAAGATATATTATCCCAGACTCTACATTCTGCAGCTGAAGTGATACCTCTTGTTTTATTTTTCCATCAACTATATTTACAATGCTATCTTCCAATAGTGCATTGTCATGTGATTTCAACCATTTCCCAATTTGCATGTCCCCAAACTGTGACGCGTCTCCATATGCCTGAGCAGATGTTAGCATCGGCATAATGTCGATTTCTGCTTCCCCCATTATGTCATCAGCAGAGAATGTGTCGTAGTCGAAAACTTGCTTCACTCAAAAACAAATCCCCATTAAAAATGTTCGTGTTGATACGAAGTAAAACAAGTTGAACTTGACAGTGACAACTTGTTATGTCCAGTCATGTGGGGCCACTATATTGTATTCTTAAAAAAATAAAAATGAAATATAGAAAACTATAAGAGCATTTCGTTACCAATTTAATGGGCCCATAATCTGGAGGGATGGAAATCATTAGCTCCTCGTTCCAAATTGGATTCAAGTTGCTTTTTTGTATAGTTGTTTGGACCCTCTAATAACATGAACACCCAATTCCACAATTAATTTTAGAACCAGATTTCGGTATAAAACAACAATAGTTAACCATTTGCAAACTATATTATCAAGAAAATGCAACAATCATATACCTACATATTTGTGTGTATACATTTTACAAACGATTTCGTGTTACTGTTTTTTGTTGATTTTTACCAATATAATATGTAAATGATTTAGTATTGTTGTATTATACGAATATGTTTAGTACTTTTACCAATACACTTACTTGAGATAAATCAAAAAGTACATTTCTATACGAAAAAATAATTGTTATGGTAGTACATACCATGGATGGAAATCCTGAATCCGCATGATTAGTTGAAGCTATTTATATAAAGAATAAAAACTAAAATAAAATAAGTAGAAACAAAGAGACTGACCTGTTCTCCTAGTGAAAGGACAACATAAGGATCACTTGATAGCATATCACGAACTGCAAGATTCGCACCTTGAAGAATTGTGAACTTCAAGAGTCCGATAGCTCCTTCCATGCATTCCTATGATCATTTTTTGGAATTAGATAAACAAAAAAAGATTGTTTCTGTAAAAGGTATATTGTGACCCATTAGTTAAAAAGATGAAGGGAGTGTTGTGCACTTACAGGTTTTGGTATTGAAGTTGGAGCCGAACTTGTAGCTTGAGAAGTCGTATTTTCCGGCAGACTTCTAGGAGCACTATTCGATGAGATCTTCAAATCCGGTTTCAAGAAGTCTTGAAGCTCATATTTGGACCTAAGATGTAAATGGAAACCACGAAAACGTTAAGGGCTGTTTGGTTCATATATTGATTTCTTCTTTTTGTAAGAGTAATATGTTATCGGATGATTGTTGACGTGTTTCCATTTTGATTAACTTCTGAAATATTATGTGTTTGATTTTTTATTTATAATATATACCTGATAAAGTTTGTTCGTTGCTCATGACTAGCATCTGGGCCAGGTTTAGAAACTCCTTCAGGAATATGAGCCTCATAGATTGAATTTACAGCACTATTTCCTCCAACTTCAACCATAGCCTCAACTTCTTCATCAGTCCATTCATCTAATGTCACCGATAAAACCTGAACAATAACAATAATAGTAGTAGAATTATATGATCCTAGTTTCGTTTGATGTGTTTATTACAGCATCCTAGTTTTGTTTCTTCCTATTAGGCTATTAAAAACCTTGTACTTTTTAAACTCCATCTATTATAGCAATGTCATCCAACTACATAGTAATTTTCACCGGTATATTTAGGTAGATTTTTCAAAGTATAACGTTCAAATAAGAGAGAACATCAAAAAGTATTATTGAGCAGTAATGAGAAAGAGCATCATAAAGCACCTACATTTGAAACACCCGCACTTAGAGTTCTGTGACAACCACAGCATTTCAAGCATATAAACACTCCAATGGTGGGTGACCTGAGATTCAAAATCAAAACATTTTAAATTCCATGGTAAAGGAATACGTACATAAATGGAAAGTTATTTTCCTATAAGAAAAAAGAATTACACCAAACAGTAAATTCAGAACAATAAAGTTCAGGAAAATCCTTGCATTGAATATTCATCCTATTGAGATCATTTTCTTTTACATATTTGCATGTGCTTTTTAGTTGTTAATGTGGATCTAACTTGTTTTGCGGAATATATTATGTAATAAGGATTTAATTATAGAATCAGCATCTATTTAGAAACGACAGGATCATCATAAATCTGTAATCAGGTAGATGTTTCCGTTTGTAGAATATTCCACTAGATGATTCTTTCCTAGAATGGTCTATGGCGTTGTGTTATATATAATTACTCAATCTAGCTCCATCAGTAATTACGAAAATATTTCATGTTAGTATTCATCAAACTACAAAAAAAAAATTGTGATTTAGAAGATGCTCTTAGAAAGCAACTACATTGCATCTTTAAAAAACCCTAGCCATCAAGAAAGAATTTTGCATGTGGTGGTGATCAAGGTGTTCAATATCCGAAATTGATCAAGAACATCTAGTTTATCTCCTAAAATGATCAAGAACATCTAGTTTAATCAAGGTTTTCAATATCCGAAGTTGTAAGCATCAGAACCTACATACATAAGTTATAAAGGTACATGCTTTATGTGTTTTTCTTTGATTTTATGTGTTCTTTGCATGGATTATTGATTTTGATCATATTCTTATTCTACTACGTTGCATATAAAATCGTTTTATATGGTATCTCTACACTAAAGAACCCTTTTCAAACACTTTATCTTCAGGTTTCAAATCACCTACTTTATCCATGAAGCTATAAAAAAGAAAAGGATAAATGATTGGTAGAACTTACGCCCATTTAGGGTCGGGCGCACCACAATCAGCACAAGTACGATTATCACTTTGCTGTAGTAGTTCTTTTAATTTTTTCTTACCTGCGAAAAATCAAGATGTGTTCCTCAATCTATCATGCCAAAAAATTGGGTTCGGAAGCACTAGCCTTTTAACAACTTTTCGTCACCAAGGAACCAGTGAAAAACCTCCAAAGGGAATTCAGTGTCAAGCAAATGGACCCATTGGTGACTTTTCAAATTGCAGATATGATACATATGATATATGGAATACATACGTATAACTATATAAGGTGATGAAAGTTGAAAAGAGTGTATGATCATACCAGAACTCATTGGTCTGCTTGCTAGCCACAATCATTAACCACAACTTTCACTTCTCAAAACAGACGGCCCTTTGCTAAATGAAAATTCCAAAAAGAAGAACATGTAACGAAATTAAACAAGTTTCAGAGTTCATTAAATCAGAAAACAAATTCATCATTTCATTTTTAGAATATAGGGATGACACGATTGAAATACAACCTTTTCTTCTCGAGGTCAATATCAAAATACAACTCGATCAATACAAACTTATACGACGAACAACATAAAACATAATTATAATTATGACTCCCGGGATCAATCGGGTTAATACACATGGAAACATAAATACATAACGGTTTTAAGAGCTATCACGATAGATAATAGGGAATGGTATCAAGAAGATTAAAGAAATGTAAACGGACGGAATTGTGATGAACATGCATCTAATTGTATGTAAATTAATGATTGATGGATCCGATGATAATGGTTGAAATTTTACCTGTTTAATGTGAGCGTTCCATGAGAGAGGGAGATGGTGCAGGAAGAAAAAGCAAGCTCGTGAACGAACGAGGAGAAGGTGGGAGTTTGTGAAACGATTGTTTGGTTTCGAGGGAATATGGTACATAACGACGTTCTTTCTATTTTGTTTGGTTTCGAAGGTTTTTGCCATTCGCCCATTCCGTGAAAGCAAAATGTGGGTTCGTATATTTTTATCCACATCCCCTTAATTTATTTTTCTATATTTTAGAGATCAAATAATAATAGGGAAAAAATTCGAAAGAAATATTAAATTGAGTATTTTTTTTTAAATCACAAATATCATTAAAAATTAAAAGACCACACGCTAACAAGAAACTAGGCAAAGCAAAAGTACAATACAATACGAGAAAGTAAAAGATATGGAAAAGGATTTAAAATGATATATGGAAGTGGTGAAACACTCTAGTTGACCCAAGTTCTACAACCTAAATTGTGACTGTATTTATACCACACGTATAATAAGGAGCGTATAATAAGGAGATAATGTTGTCAGCTACTTTTGTAGTCTAATTGAAACAAAATTATAGTGTATCACACTCAGACCAAGCTAGGTAAATGGATTCATCAGTCATGTCTTCAAAATTCATCGTCCTATAAAGTATTGGAAAAAGTCATCATCCTATAAATTGTTGGAAAATGTGTCTAAGGTCATTAATTATTATTAATATTTCCAATAATAACAGGATCTTTTCGAGTTATCCTCATGACCTATTTGAGGAATTAAAAGAAAAATGTATTAAGGAGAAAATTAGTTTATTAATCCATTATGTTAACTAAATCAATTAAAACTATTTTAAAGTTAAATGACAAATAATTAATTCAAGGGGTTGAATTTTAATTAGTTAAAAGTTAACTAATTGAAATACTCTGGAATCCATACGATATAAGGAGGATTTTGAAATTAGCATCCATCTCATATAGACTGGAGATGCAATTGGGGTGAGGATCTAAGGCATATAAATAGTGTGTTAGGGATCAAACCTTTTTTGCTCATTGGCTTGAATTTTTGTCTCTTTTCTTTTTTCCTCTCCTTGGAACAATTTTCTCTCCCTTTCTAGGGTTTTTGGAAATTACTCCTAGTTTCTTTTGGTTCTCTCTTTGGAGCATTGGGTGTGATTTCATTAAAGGCATTCCATAGGTGGCAAGGACAAGATCGCAAGTAGAAAGTCTCTAGCTGCAAAAGAGGTATTTTAATTTGTGTGTCTCAATAGTTTTAGTAACATATTGAAACCTAGATCTATTAAGAGTGCATGTACAAATGGGATTTTTATAATGTTTCCATTGTGCAACTAATGTGTATTGATTACCAGAAAGTACCACGGTTGTAACACCCAGAATCATAAAGACCAAGAAAGGAAAGAAAACCCTAAGTCAAAGGGTCAACTCATTGAGTCCAATGAGGAACTCGACGAGTCGGAGCGGGATCTGGGGATGGGGTAAGTGACCAACTCGGCGAGTCGGCCTCATGGACTTGGCGAGTCTGATCTGAAGAGGGAAACCCTAAATCCGGGACTTTGGGCACTATTTAAGCATCTTATTCTCTCCATTAGGGTTCCATATAGCCTCTCTCATCCAGAAACCGAAACCCTAAGCCCCTATTATTGCTCATTCAAGTTTCTTGCCATTTTTGGGTGATTTGAAGGAAGAAGGAAGGAAGGAACCATTGGGGATTCAAGGGTTTGTAGTAGATCCAGAGTTTGAGGGCCTTTCCAGAGCAATTCAAGGTAAGGAGTCGTTACCTTCCCTCTTTTGCATGTAAATCAATCTTGATTGTGAGATTTGGGACTCTTATGCCATGTTCTTGAACCATTTCGAGTTAGAGCCCAGATCTAAAGTTTCTACTTCAGATCTAAGTGTATTCTGGCCTAGAGAGTCATAAAGTATCAGTCGTGGGGGTGTAGGTGAAGCATCGTTGTCTTAAAACCTAGCCCTAGAGTGTTTTGAGCCTAGATCTCCTTAGTTATACGTAAAGTTTGCAACTTTACGTGGGGAATGGACTTTGGAAGTATGGATCTATGATTTGGAGCCCCTGCATGGCTCGAAAAGCCACTGAATGGATTAAGAACTAAAGCAACTCGGCGAGTCACATGGGTGGACTCGGCGAGTTGGATGAAGATGGGCAGGGACTCGGCGAGTTAGAAGAACAACTCGGCGAGTCTGTTGAAGAATGCCTTGGATTCGGTGAGTCTATTCTTGGACTCAGCGAATCAAGTCGCGAAACTCCAAACCCTTCAAGTTGAGACTCAGATCAGTGAGTTGAGTGGGGACTCAGTAAGTTGGACAGGACTGGACTCGAGAATCGGTAGACTCGGCGAGTCAGGGGCTTACTCGACGAGTCGAGTCGCGAATGGAAGGACTCTGAGCGTATGAACTCAGCGAGTCAGTAGGCAGACTCGGTGAGTAGGGTTGACCTGGAAGGTTGACATTGACCAAGAGTTGACCAGTTGACTTCCAGGGGTATTTTGGTAACTATTGGTATTTATTGAGTTCAGTTGTTTGGTGTTGACCAGTGGAAGAGTTTGTATCGGAGGTTGGAGTAGCGTGATCTTATTTCTTCAGCCGACAGTTGCAGGTGAGTCTTCTCACCATGCCAATGGGTCTAAGGCACCAAAGACGACCCATCTTATGTTGTGTGATAGGATAGTTAGTTTTATGCTAGGTGGTATGCTGGTAATTATGTGATATGCTAGTTGTCTTTGTGATACTTGCATGGAAGACCATGTGGGGTAGCCCATGGCATTGGATGTAAGACCATGTGGGGTAGCCCATGGCAGTCCTAGGTAAAGACCATGTGGGGTAGCCCATGTCACACTGGTATAAGACCTTGGGGGTATCCCACGGCATCCTTACAGGTTTATATACGTGTTATGTGTAGATATTTATGTGATGCATGATTTGCTGTTTGGTTATATATGGTATTTGTAGGGAAGACCCCTGTAGAAGCCCGTGGCATTGGTGTAAGACCATGTTGGGTAGCCCATGGCAGTCCTAGGTAAAGACCATGTAGGGTAGCCCATGGCATTAGATGTAAGACCATATGGGGGAGCTCATGGCAGTCCTAGGTAAAGACCATGTGGGGTAGCCCATGACACTATTACAGATTTTATGTATGTAGGGCTTATGTGATATATGGTAGCTTTTATAGCTAACAGTATATATGATATGTGTGTAGCTTTTATACCTATCAGGGTATGTGATATGTGGTTTGTGTGAATGGTATGCTCTGGGAAACTCACTAAGCTTCGTGTTTACATGTTTGTTTATGGTTTTAGGTATCATCGTTTTGGAAAGGAAGAGCTCGGGTTGATCGCGGTGCACACACCTATGATTTCTGCAATGAATGATTTTGGGATAAACTCTAATAAACCATTTGATTGACTATGATTTGATTGTTTGAATTAAATGGTATCACTGTTTAAGTTATATTAAAAATGAAATTTTTACCCCTGATTTTTGGGACGTTACAACGGTCCTTTATGATAAATAGTTGTATGGGGTAACCTTGTAACCCTAGAATCATTTAACATTTCCATACATGGTCGGCCTTATCATTAAGTTAACTAAGCAAGGGCTTAGTCCCCTAATTATAAGGGGGCCACTTTAAAGGGTTTTGAGCATTCTAACACTCCTAAGGTGTACATGCTACCCTAGAAACCTTGGATCTATGTTTTACTAAGATACATGCAAATTTGATTTTCCAAGGTTCTTAACCTAACTAGCATGGCATAGGGAACTTTGAAACATAATAGCTACTAGAAGAACATACCTTTTTGTTGCTTGGATTCATTGAGAACCGTGTGAGCCTAACACCTCAAGTGTGATGCCTCAAATGTCTCACACAACACCACAACCCTTGGATTAACTTTGAGAGAAGTTCACTAACACTCAAAATCGGCTATCCCTCTTGTTCTTTTCTTAGTGACCGATTTTGCTAGCCATGGAGCTTCTTATATAGTGAGCCACATGTAGGGTTACTCCATGTAAACCATAATGTGCATGGCTTTTCATATTCCATGATCCATGGGTTTATAACCTCCATGGACTATCCATGGAGCACCTTATAGGTTTTAGCCCAATTCAATAAACCAAGGATCATTAGCCCACTATACAAGAATGGATGTTTACACAATCAACCCCATATATTTAATTAGTCTCCTTTTGATCACTTAATTAATTCCATATTAATTCTTGATCAATACTAATTAAATAATATTATTAATATATTAGAACTTATAATATATTAATAAACCTTAAGTGTTCTTTCTCTCATTTGTATCCAAGTGTTGCAATGTCATGCAACCCAAATGGACCATGCCAACCGGGTCAAGTACATTCCAGAAATAGTTATGAAATTAGACACCTAATCCAATAGTCTCCCACTTGGATAAGGCTAATAACTATAACTGCAAGAATGACTTCTTGAACCGATCAGCAATCGTATCTCTTTCAAGGTCTTGCGGAACTGAGATGATGGTGATATGCCATTTAAG